ATCTTGTTTGCAAAGGCAAACTACCTCGGGAGAATGAATCAATTTGTTTTGATCCTGTGAGAAATCAATGTTTGTATGTCACACCCGATTCTGCACTAAAGGCTTAGGAATCCTCTCCCTAATAATCAGCGAGCCGCTGCTGAAATCTCAGGGCTTTCTCTTTCTTTTTTTTTTGTTTCTTCTCTGGAAACAGATGGAAGTGTGGAGCAATTTTGATCTCCGAGCGCCACATCAATGACACAGCGTAAACCGAGAATATGAATTGATGGTTCCGTCATGCATGTCTTTATTGGAGTACGTGTTAATCGAAGTGACTTTCATGCAAATGTAATTGTGGCCGAGTAGACCATTAAGTGGGTGAAAATTAATGCTTAAGGAATATTAATGCCTCACATGATCATCAGTCATTTTGGTTGTTGTAGATCCAAAAATCTGATGTAATGAGTTTCCTGTGGGGGTTACAAAATCACACATTTCCATGTAAATTATACATGGTGCCAAATTCCCATAATTTGACATTCCTTAAGGTATTGGTTTGCTTTCTGTAAATGGTCTGTTTGAATAGTCGTCTAGTTGTCATCTTAGCTGTACAGACAACTAAAATCAAAGTCTTATTACATTTATTTTTGGTCTGTGGGTAACTGCAGCTACTTACATCTGATTTTTATATTTTATTCTATTTCATGACAGCTTAAGATTCAAACCTATGACTGGAATTGATTTGTTCTACTTTTTTTAAAATAGCAAATGTCTGAATTTGATCAAACTCACAACATATATCTATCCTTTGCTCAAATATGGCATTTCTTTTTAATTTATTTTTTTTTGTTAGCATGAACATATACAGTCAGATCGATAATGAAATGGTTTTAGGAAAATGACCATTCCAAATAAGACATTCAAGAAAGATTCAAGAATTTCTGTTTGAAGATACTCTCTCATCCAATTCTATTCTGAAAAAAAAAAAATCTGTCAAAAGTGTCAGTTACTGCATTAAGATCATGTCTCCTTTTCTTCATTGTTCTGGTTTCTAATGCCAAATCCTACTAAAGTAGACCAATGGTGTGTGGATACTTTTCCAAACACATCAAACTGCAATTAATGAACAAAGTTCAATGTGTGTTATATTGAATCTCATTCCCTGATTATCAGTTTGCAGCATCTACAGATTTTATTGATCAGTAGTGCTGCAAATGTGTTTTTATATGGTAAAAAGAACTGCCTTCATGCTGAATAAATATAATCCAACCTGCTTAGCATTGCTTTCTAGCTAGACCCCCTACCTTTCATCATCAAAGATTGCATGACTGTAATTTTATAAAGTTTTTTGTTCCTTTGTTTTGCCTTCGTGCACCAGCAGAAAGGTGCGTTCAGAGGCACTGTGGGCAGCAGCAATGAAAAACAGCACAACTATTGTTGCTGGCCTTCAAATCAACATTTCTTTTATATGGGTGTTATTTGCTGATCGGCTGTAATGACTCGTTTGCTACACTACTATAACACACGACATAATACACACAAAATCTGCTTGATCATACATTTGACCCAAATGCTGGGTTCGTTTTGCTGGGACAGGATTTTGGTAGCGTTTAACCAAACATCTGCAGAAAAACTCTGACAGTGTCAGGTTCCTCATTGGACCACCTTGTTGTACAACTTGGCTTCTTTTGTCTTCTCAAGAGATGACTCAAATTTTGCTCTATATGGTGACAATACCAAATAAAGTTTTTCTTTTCAGACCAGCCAAAATGTAAATGGTCAATTTGAGGCTTTTCAGTGGACCTTTGGTCTGCCGCCCACTAGCTAATTCTTGAGACCCCCACTAAAAACAATTGGCAATACTTTATTTGAAGGAGTACAAGACTGACATGACACTGTCATGTGTTATGAACGTAGAGCAGTCTTCATAAATGTTTATGACTGTTGTCATGAAGTGTCATTGAGTAAATAATGGCATTTTAATGCAAAGCTACACTAGTACTCGCTTTAAAAACCCATTAAAAATGTCGTCTTTGCATTAAAAGTGTCATTATTGATCGAATGACACTTCATGACAACAGTCTTAAACTGTCATTGAGACTCATCAAGGCACACCCCTTCAAATAAAGTGTTTATTATAACTGTCCATTTTCAAAGTTCAAATAGCGAAAATACCTTTACAGATTTTGGCTTTGTTGTCCGTCACTGTTGGCGGATCTCGTTTGTACATCAGATTTAATCCGGATCGGTAACAAAAGGTTCAGGCTCTGCACTTTTGTATGAGAAAAAGAACATGATTAATTGCTTTAAAATTTTGAACGCGTTTCATTAATTAATCAAAATTAAGGGACTAAAGTCTCGGCCCTACTTTATATGCATTAATATGCACAGCGGAAAGCACATCAGCATTACCGTGGGGCGAAGATTCTCATCTTTATCACATTTAGTTCTGCTTTTGGAGGTACAGTGAGCCATTGAAAATAGATGTGCGTAGAGTTGCATTGAGCCTAGGAATTTTAACTTTCAACACTTCATTATAGTCTAGAATATTCCAGATATTATCTTTGATAGAGCTCTGCAATACTGAACTGTGAATGGGGTGATATAGTCTAAGACTTTATACATATTGTAGAAAATGGAAGCAATCCCACATCAATCCAACCAGATGCCACAGCACTGACTCTACCCCCTAGCTTATGGTACTAATTGAGCTATTAATATTAAAAATAATTGAAATAAATCCTCTTATTTCCAGCAGACATTAATGTGGTTGCTATGGTTCTCATGACACTGTGACATTTTTCTAGGGAAGAAATTAGTGAAAGTGAAAAAGCCTAAAAAAAGATAGTAATTTATGTTTCATTTTAGCTTGAAATATTTCAGAATTTCTTCACACCTGATGGTCAGGTAAACTCGGTTTGACATTTACACCGGTCTTGTTCAGGCCACTTTGTCCAAACTCTCGTTCCTTTGTCTAGGAAGTCCGATTTGTTTGGGGAAGTGTGAACGCGCAAACAAACTGCTATGGAGCAAAACAGAAAAAGTTTAAATCTTAGGTCTCAATTCGGGTGAAGTGAACTCTGGTGGTTCTAATGAATGCTAGAGTGGAGCAGAGAGCCCTTGAAAGGCAGGAACCGGACAAAAGCACAGGGCATTCTGGGTAAGAACAAAACACACGTGTCTAGCGCTAGCAGTTTTTTTTTACCAATGACAAAAGTACTTTAATAGTTTACCTACGGGTAACCTTATACATGTTTCTCCACTGAATAAATGAAGATGCTGCTCCCCTTCAGCAACAGATGCTTCTTTCTGGATAGTGGAACTGTTGGAAGTGCTCCAGTTTTATTGTGAACCTTCAACTGAAAAATGCATGAGAGAGTAGCTGAAGACCCAATGTGTTGTCATACAAAAATGATCACACTCTCACCTTGTGATTCAAACACTTTTACTTCTCTTACCTTCCTAATTCATGTAGAATAATTTATATTGTGCCACATTTCAGTGAAAGTTGGTGGCACCTTTAAAAAAATACACACACACAAAAAACTGCTTCCCATTGTTGTTCCCCCACAGACATTTCAGAAGTAGTTCCCAGTAAACACTTTGCCTTTTTAAAACCTATATTTGTAGATGTTTTCACAACTGACAGCGGCACACTACTGGGAGGGTGATTTCGGATGCCGACAGCTTTTAAAAACCAGCAGGGAGGTTAAAAAAAAAAAGTCAAGTTGAATCCGTTTGGAAAATTTCCCACCTCTGTCTTTTAATACTGCCCTGCAGCTATTTAGGTGCGCCTGCAAGCCCACAGACAGCAGATGAGTTACTCATTATTTGACCAGCGTTTCTTATTCCACCTCTCATATAGTTACTTGTTTTAGGCTAAGATTGTATATATATATATATATATATATATATATATATATATATATATATTATATATATATATATATATATATATATATATATGGCTGCCTTTGCCTATGGCGAAAGCAGCCTTCCATGTTACAATAACGTTCTATTTCAATATGTGGTGAAGTCATGCTCAAAGTTTGTTTTTTTCAACGACAGAAAGCTTTGTACAGGATCATGGACTTTAGTATTTTTCTGCCTCAGGAAGAAGATATAGGGGTCTATTCCCCAAGCATGAATACTACACACAATGTTCCATATTTGTAGCTGTTTTCTAACACCGGTGATCCTGAGAGAAATACTAGATTCATACATCTAGTATTCAGAAGTATCTGTGTTCAGGGTTTTGCTTTCCAAATCATCAACAATTCCCTTTTACATCCTGTGAGAGGAGATGTTCAAACCTGAGTAGACGACGTTCTCCTTGTTTTGGTTGATTGGCACACAGCAATATTTTTCTCCATTTTTATTATTGGAAATGGCGAGAATCTGAAATTTGCTTCTTTATGAATTTTAATTTTTAATTCAGGAATATGAGCTCACTGAAGACTATATGGTGATGCTACGGTCACTAAAGAAGATGTTGGGACTTTTTAAAGTGCGTCCATGTGCAATACGGACCTAACATTTCTGTATTAATGCCCTTTTTTCACCATTATGTGATCGTAAATTTGAGCTGTAAAAGGGAAACAGCAGCGTACCAGAAACAAATACTTGAACTTCACCATGTCACTGTCTGTAATGAATCTGTATTTTATCATGTATATTCATTTTAATTGATACACTGAAAAAAATGACTTCAATATGAAAGCTTATTTTATTACAATGTCTCCATAAAAAGGTCTTCAAAAGTCTTAAATTTTACTTGCCAAAACCTTAAGCTTCCTTGTATTGAGATACATCTGGATAGCAGTAAAATATGACATTAAGCAGCCAGTGAGTCATGACTAGAGGTCATTGCAAGTTACAGGCCTTGCAATGCGCAATTCATAAGTGACCAGAAGAAAGAAAACATCCATGACTCATGAGAAAACAACCGGACGTTTCAGGCTCTCATAAACAGAATCCGGTGTGTGTTCTCAATGTTTCCCTCTGCTGCTGGTGTGTTGCAGAAAACGCCATCTTGGCATTCGGGAACGGATCTGACGTGAAAACAGGTGCCAGTCAGCCTGGGATGTCAAGTCCGGCGACGGACAGCCACAGTCCGCACTTGGCGACCACCGCCCCGGGCGTCTCCATGGAAACAGAGCAGAACGTTCTGCGAGCACAGATACCTACTCAGGTGAGACGAGACGGAGGACTGGAAATGTGATGTGCAAGCTTTTTTCTAAAGTGTCCTGCCGGTGGAGAGGCGCTGGCTTCGATCTGGGTCATGCAGCAGCGATTGAACAAACACTACGCTCTGCAGAGGTCAACTAATTAGTAAATAATCCACCCACCTGGAAAATTATTCTGTAAATCCAGGTGCTCTACGACGGCCCTCAGGTTTCTTAGAGAAAATTAGTGGCAAACAGAGCACCGTGGAAAGGTAAGGGAGGTCACAGTGTGGTTTAAAGCGAAGTGAGACTGGAAAACAATGTCCAAGCTTCAAACATCAACAGTGCTACCACTGTGCAGCTAGTTTCAATTCATTTTTTAAAATATTTTATAGATCAAAAATGTTGCACCTCAAATTTTCCAAGATTCTCCAAAGAGGACCTTCTGTTTGGTGGTGAAGTCTTTGGACAGGAAGGATCTCCTGTAGCAGTCTGTACTACAGCAAAGCTGAAGAGGCCTCTGACTGAAGACACTATTTTTGTTTATATTTTGGAGCACTTTCAGCCAGAACAGAGCCATCAAAAAACAAAAAAAAAAACAGTCTGGGTTCTGGTACCTTGCATGGCCCAGTATTTTAACACTGAAAGCCAAAATCGCATTAACAGTGTTTTAAACCTCACCATTTCTGTTATATTTCAGCTAAATGATCGGGGAGGAAAAGGATAAAATGGAGGCAATTATTACATTATTAAAGAAGAAAGATGTCTAAAACACACAAAAAAGGCTAAAAATACAAATGATTTAAGACCACACAATAAAAAAAAATCATTTTAATGTATAAAACCACTCTAGCTTTAAATATATGAGGGAGAAATTGGAATCAGACCATTTTCTGCATGTGAAAAAAAAAGCACATAAAACACTTTGTAGCCCCTGTGGTCTAAACATAATTGACAATCTGCCAACAGATATAAATAAACTTCACAAGCTTGACATATAAGTAGCCCATATTTATTTCCAGAGGGAAAAGCTGCTAAAAAAACTAAACTAAAAGCGAAAATTTGGTCTTTTTGCTTTGTGTCCTCAGTGCTCCTCGTCCCACACACAGCTGTTCAACTCGATCTGTGACCAGCAACAGAAAATGACATTTTGCTGAACATACTTTTTTTTTCACATCAGCTGAGGTTCAAATAAAATATTGCTGTGACTGTGGCAGTCACTGTTAATTAAAACAAAAAAATCTGCATCTGTAAACTCATCAAAACATCACAGGAGCTGCTCCTATGCCATCCAGCCTGTCCGCCGCAGCAGACATGCAAACAAATTAAAACAAAAAACACCCTTTTAAACTGTTCTACAATTTATCACATTACTAACAGTTTTGAGAGTTTTGTGGAGGGTGGGGGTTATGGGATAAAACCCAGCAGGTTCAGAACTAAGTATCATCTTTATGCATAATTATGACCTAAGAATTTAGGAGATGAAGGAGAAACAGCAAGCTGAACTTCAGACGTGTCAGCAATGGAAAAAAAAAGGTAACCTTTTAAAAATAAATCCAAAAGTGACAGTTTAACAAACAAAACATGATCTTTTCGCTCCAAGGATCCACTAGCAGATGAGCAGCTAATGGTGCGTGTCTGAAGTCAGCTGTCAGGTTTCTGCTGAATTCTGTTTTTAATTCTTTAAGATATGACTTTCAGACACTGTAAATTTGCTGGATTCACCAACTCAAAATAAAAATTATAAATCTTCAAAAACGCTTTAAAGAAAGCCTTAAAATCTAGCTACTGATCAGGAATGATTCTAAATAACATAAGTTGCAGCTTTGAGGGAAAGCAACAAGAAAAGAGATCTGGAAACCTACAAGCACAACATCACAGATATTTTATTTTAACATCTATTTTCATTTTGGTATACATTTGCTAGTTTTATTTTGCTCCCTATGAGTTATGTTTTTTTTTTAAGAATTTGATTCTTTAAATTCATCTATAAAGCATGAAACAAAAAAACCCCAGTGAATACATGCAGTAAATGTGCCAAACTTTTTAATCTGGTTTGCCCCAGTGGATTATAAGCCTGGCGGGCCACCAGGCTTAAATTATTTAAAGCTAAAGGTAGTCGTTTAAAAAACAATTTTGCACTGGGGAGCATTCATAGTACATTTATAACCCTCAAATCGCTCCATTGATGCTTTGACAAACAGAGAAAGGATTTCATGGTCCATATTCTGCGTTTTAGCAAATCTCTGCACAGCTTGGAATAAATCAGTTCAACTTAAAAACTTTAAGGGCACCTTAGATTTTGAGCAAATGAAAAGTGGTCCCGATTCATTAAAGGCTGAATTCGAACTGGTGTGGCTGAGAGGGCGGGGGTGGAGGGGGGTGGATTTGACAAATTAATCAAATCTTTGATTGTAATTTTTTTGTTTCTGGTATTTCAATGAAAGAAAATGTTTGTAATTATATTAATTGTTAAAATAAAATAGTGCTTTAATTATTTTTGAACAAACATGAAAATACTAATTGTGCCATGATGCGGCAGTCGTAATCAGTTTCCACTCTAACATTAAAGGTTTTTCTTTTATGTCATTTTTATGACAATAGAAATTACTGAAGCAATAAAAAGGGTGAAACATTTTGGGTGTGAATATTTTTTAGAGGCACTGTAGGTGAATGAAATGTACCCTCTGTAACTCAGACATTTCCGGCCGTTATTTATGTATCATTTAAACTTTTATTTAAAAAAAAATGTTGCTCCACAAGTTAACTATCTAATAAATTATACCCCTTGTGGCTTTTGTTAAATAAAGCCTTTCTTCTTGCCAATAAAGAAAATAGTTCTTTCTTTAAATCTAAAGGTTTTTAGTCTAGTGTATTCAGGAAGGCATTTTCACCACTAGTTGGACTCTCTGGGCAGGAAAGGCTAACCAAAAATGCCTAATGTGGCTTCATGCTATAGTGATTAAAAACATTGTGTCTCATACTCGTCACAAACTGCGCCTTTTCTATCAGTGCTTGGTGTTGTATAAGGCCAGAAGCTCCACCTGAACGGTACAATTGTCTTATGAACCTGCAACCTTAGGGGGCCCAGTAATGGTGTATGGGTCAGTTGTATGATCCGCATTTTCCATAGAAACAGATAAAATAGAGTCCTGAACAGAACCATCCTGTCCCGCTCAGGGAAGACAAGCCATCGGTTCTCTTGTCTGCTTCTCTGACTAACATTGTGAAAATGTTGGAAACCTTTTATCTCACAATTAAGTGGTACTTTGTGCCAATTTGTCTAATAAAATCCAGAGAGAATACATTAGAGTTTGTTTGTATTATGATAAAAGCATAGAAAACCTCTAGGGCAGGGCTCTTCCAATCCAGGACTCCTGGCCAGCATTCAACAACTTTTAGATGCGTCTCTGCTTCATCTCACCAGAGTCAAATTATGAGGTCAACACCAGGACTCTGAAGATCTTCAGTGACCTGACGAGGTCATCCGGCTATTTGAATAGGACGTGTTGTACAAGAGACATATCTAAAAGTTGCAGGACACTGACCCTTGAGGCCTGAATTTGAAGGTCCCTTCTCTGGAGGTGCCAATATGGTTGTGAGAGAGTGTAAAAACCATAAATTACCATCCATGTGCTTTCTTTCAGGTAAATGGGAATGACAGATTGTGGGGTGACGAGGGAGATTCCACTCTTCCCTCTCCGGGCCTTTTGGATCATGGCCCTGAGCCCGTCCGTCTCTCCATGCTGCTCATCCTGGGCTGGCCCATCCTGGTGCTGATCTCCGAGCCGTAGGAGGCGTCCCTTTAATGACCTTTATGGACTGTGCTGTTCAGAGCCGACAGGGAGGAGGGTGGGGGTGCGAGAGAGAAACGACCGATCCTGAGTGTCCGATGACGGTGTGGGGGAAGAAGAGTGAGCTCTGTCCTGCCCCACTCCCCTCTCCCTGTCACACACCAGAAACCCACCTAATCTTTTTGTGAATCATGACTCAAGAGTCGATGTGTTGTGAAAGATGCATCATGGATTGGACCACAGGAGAGGGTGTCACCACTGCACCACAGAGTTGGGGAGGGGGAAAAAAAAAGAAGGTTCCACACATCATTCCCTGCTGCACACCAGCCCAACTTTTACGGGAAAAAACACACACACACAGACTTCTCTCAGCTGCATCTGTGCGGAGAGCAAGGCCAGCAGGTTCAGAAAGTGTACAGTGAAGAGACACTGAGGACGCAGTGACCGAAAACATTACAAAACATAAATATATATATATATATATATAAAATAAAACGAATAAATGATTTTCTTTGTTCTTGAACATTCCTTGATGTAAAAAAGAAAGCATTCAATGTAAGAGACTCTTCTCTCAGACGACGTCTTACACGAGATTTAAGGTGGAATGTGTATGTCTGTCCACATGCAGCGCTCCGCCCGTTTAGCTTTGCTCCTTCTTTTTGATGCCACATATTTTGTTTGAAAGAGCTGTTACCAGAAATGTTAGCTAGAAGCACATGTTATAACCCGAGTCAAACCACAGTGAGTGTCTCTGACTGTCCGTGGTCGTGTTTTGAGTTGAAGGTCGAAGAGTTCAGAACAATAAAAATGTTTACCTAAAATTATGCTAACGCTAAACAAAATTCAGACCTATCTGTATTTAATATTGTTAATTGAGGACCAACTGTATTTTTTTAAAGAGCCTTATTCAAAGTCTTAAGACTGGGAAGGAAACTACAAGTTATGACATTTTGTTGTGACGGATCAGAACCAGGCTGCAAGCTGTGATGGAAAAGAACTAACAGGAGTGGTAGACAAAATAGAGAAGGCAAATTACTCTACACTGCATTTAAAGTGAGATTTCTCATTAGCTGATGAAAAGGATAAAACTGATGCCTTATAAAGTGTCGATCTACATCTACATCTACATCTGCATCTGCAAAGGCAGAAAGGTTTGCCTTTGCTATCAAGCATTAACTCCATTCTTTAAATGGAGATAATTTGTCAGAATTGCTGAGATGAACAAGTAGCGCATCTTGAATTTCTTAATGAAATATAATAATCAAGGGACAAAAACTGTAAGTAAGTTTGAACACAAAGTTCTGTTTGGGTTTTTTGGACTTTTACACTTAAAACAGTTATTTGATTTGTCTATTTAATCTTGCTCCTGTTTCTTCTGTTTGCGTTTTGAAGCTCAACTTTCAACCTGGTAATGATCCACTGGGATAAATGTGAACACTTGGAACTTCTTCCCTTTTTTTTTTCAGTTTTAGGGTTTTGTTTCAGAGTGTATGAGTAGATGACCCCTTATGTAAAGTTTTTTAATACCTCACTTTGGAAGGGAACTCTTCACACATTCATTCATTAAGCTTTAAATGTGAGGACTTTCGGTCTGTTTCTTTTCTGATATATATATATATATAAAAAATACAATCAAGTAATTTTTTTCTTTGAAGCAGTAAGAGATTGAGACAAGTTTATATTTTATAAATGTATGTGGACTTTGTCGCAAAGACAACAGATAACTATAAAAAGAGTTTGAGAGCCATTTTGCTATGGAATCAGTGGGACACAGACAGGGGCCTCCAAGTGAGGACGCCCCCCGCTGTCCGTGAAATGAAAGTGGTGACCTGTGTTGCCCGCTGCTCCCCTCTAGTCTTCGCTCAACGTGGGACATTAAAAAAAAAAAAAAAAACAAATGTTACCGTACAATAAAAAGGCACAGATCTGCTTTTTGGAGTAGACATTTCCATCAAGTATCCTGAGTGGGGGTCCTTGGGCAAACTTTCCGCTCTGCCATCAAATTCAGTACAATACTGTGAATTGTCAGATGATGTTAGCAAAAGGCTGAAAATGGCTGCCGTTAGACCTGATCGAGCTCGAGGTGAGGAAACCAAACCGTTTGTTCCTGATGACATCATAACAGCACAAAAAAGTTTCTGTTCTCACAAGTTCTACGAGACGTGATGCTCTGTGTCGCCCATGTTTTCTTTTTTGTTTGTTTTTTTCTAAACGAGACCAGAAATGTGTTTTACAAACGGAATTAAAGTAATTCAACATGTAAACAGTTGTCTTAAAGGGCCGGTTCACTCATATAAAGTCTGCTGTCGCTTCATTACACAGGATGGTTTCTGTTCATTTTAGCACACTTCATTAGTACAACGCTATAAAGAAACCCAACCATACAGAACATATAAATAAATAGAGAACGTAACCATTAGGTGTAAGTCAAATTACAGTCTCTTCACATAGAAATTGTATCAAATTCAAATAAATTACACACAAATTGTGAAAGTTTAGTACATATGAATAAGTAGGGGCTGCGGGGACAGAAACACTCATTTATAGTCAGTTATAAATATAGTATTGAAAGACGACGGGCAGAGAAAAACAGAATCGAACCTTTACACTGAAGTGAGAGGTTCAGCGTATCATGTTTGTCCAGTCAATTATTTTACTTTGCAGCACAAAAAAAGTAAAAATGACACAAAGCATGTTTTGACAGCAGGACACTGTGACTGTGGTAAACATACCACAAACTAATAGACAGATGTGTCTCCTTTTCTTTTTTTTAGACCAAGAAAACAAAAATATGTAATTTCTTAGTTTTGCTGAAAGCCTCATTTCTGAGACAAACACCTGCGCAAATCTAATCTGGCAAATGATGAGTGTCAAAGAAGAGCATCTAGAGAGCTGAGGAAAAGCCTGAAAATGACTGAAATTAAAATATGGCCACACAACTTGTCATTTAAAACTGCGGAAAACATTCTGAAGCTCGTTCAAAAAGAAAAATCAACGTGAAGTGTGGCGAAAGGTGTAGGTAGTTTCAGTCAGCAAGTACAAATAAAACAAAGAAAAAGTCACATGGAGGTCAGGTTGGACATAGCAAAGCATGAACGAAAGAATAAACAATGTAAAAGGTTTCCTTCAGAAATTCAATAGTTGAAATGCTTTATTAATCCCAAAGGCAATATATATTTTTCTATATATATATATATATATTTTTTTTAAATGAAATGAAATTTTATTCGAACATTATACAAATATAAAAATAAAATAGTGCACAGTAACAAAAAGTGCATAAGAAAGAAGAGAAAATACAGATTTTTTGTTTCAGTTGACATATGCTCAAAATGGGGTAGGAAGAAGTGAGAATATATATATATATATATATATATATATATATATATATATATATATATATATATATATATATATATATATATATATATATAAGTGGCAATTCCCAGGCCTTTCAATTCTGAATTCTGAATACTTAATATTTTTTGTAAAATTATAATTTGAACTTTTTTTTTTATTTAAGAAAAATCCAAGCAGCTAAGCTAACCCAATACTACTATTTTAAGTTATAGAATATTAAGCACAATTTATATATATATATATATATATATATATATATATATATATATATATATATATATATATATATATATATATATATATATATAAACTGATGAAATTTGGTTTAGCGTGGAACCTTACAGAATTGTTTCAAATAATAAATGTTCTTTGGTTACATGATTTTTTTCCTCTTGTCAGTCACACAATTTAAACAGAATCTCTCAGAAAATTGGTGGTTTCTGAATTAAAAATAATTTCTGAATCCAAGCGTGACTGCCACAGATCACAAATCAAATTGCCAGACACTCACACATGGTTCCTCAGGAAGAAGGGCCTCCTGAGCAGTCTGGATTACAGCGGGATTTGTACAGACCTCTGACTGAAGACTCAACAGTCTGATGAGTAGAGACTCTGGACCACTGGATGAGCTCAGATAAATCCCATAAAAATCCACATAGGTCTATGATTGTAATTTGACAAAATATGGTGCAAAGTGCTGCAACATTTACTAACGATATTTTCCCTGCTACAGCTTTAATGTTCTGGACAAACAGAATTGCTGGTGAATCATTAGAGTTCCTCTTTGAGCAGAAACAGACTCCTTGGCTTCTGACACTCCTGATGAACAACTGTGAAATGAAAACATTCACAAAATTGCTTCAAGGTTTTATTACTTAGTAAACATAACAATTAAAAAACAAAAAAAACAAGCCTGACACTAACTCATTGCAATCACAAAAAAAAAAAGAGAGAGAGAGAGGGAAGAAAAAATAAAATAAAATCACTGCATCATTATCTCATCCCCGTTGCTTGTTTTGGAATAGGGAAACAAAACAAAAAAAAGACAGAAAAAAATGGCCCAGGGGAACCTAGTTACAAATTGAAACTCTTGCAGAGTGTGTGTCACCTGCGCTTTGCATATGGTGGCTCTAATTGCCGCCAGTCTGCACGTTTTGGGTCAGCAGCTATGTGGGACAGACCGCCTGCTGTTCCAAATACTGTAGCTGTTTGCTGCAGGCTGACAGGAAGCTGAAATCCCACCAACAGGGAGGGAGCCGCGTGCGGCACCACGTCTCACTCAGACAACAACACAGCACGCTCTCTTACAACTCCAGCTCCCAGCGACAACTTATTCAATTTCAGCAGTTGCAAAAAAAAAAAGAAAAATCTTATTCTTTTACTAGAATTTATTAAAAGTTCCATTCCATTTTATTTGTAAAGTTTAAGACTGTTCCTCCCCTGCTCCAAAATCATAGAGCTCTACTTGTTGGGTTTGTTAATGTTCTGATCCGGAATCTAATTTCTGAATATCAGTACCTCCTGCAGTAGCGCTCATCATTCACTGGACCTCTAAAAGAACATGTTTGTCGTCTCACAATTGTCAAAATTGTTAAACGATGGCGATAATGGACATTTAAACGATGAGCCAGGACGCCGTGGAACCAAAGTGCCTTGAAGCAGGGCGGCGACACAAGGGCGCCTTCAAAATGAAGGTCAAACTGCATTAATTAACTACTGTAGTTCGAATGCAGCAAACGTTAACATTGGGGTTGTTTTCACAGGTTTGAACAAAGTACAAATGCATTCAACTTTACTTTCTTCAGATACATTTCTTTCACCTTCTCTCTACTTCAGACTCCTGTCTCTAGTTTTACTTCACTGCTGAGATGCCAGAGATGTTGGGTTTTCAGAATGAAGTGAATTTGAATGTTTTATGCTATTTAAATTCATTTCAAACTGTGATTATGGTTAGTATAAGTGCAGAAATATGCTGGTCTGAGCAACCACTTCCTCCTCAGGAAGTAAGTAGCTCTGCTTGCTAGCATGACTTTAGCATCAGCCCCGGGGCGAGGCTTGCTAAAGCTGATTCAAATCTGAAATTCTTGCTCCAACATCGACGTTTTCAACCACAAGTCATGAGAGACTTTATAACTGTTACAGAGTCAATATGTTCAGTCGTGAAACAGCAATTATGGCCATATGACACCCAAGAAGTCTAGGCTCTTAAACCCTTTGCCAGACAGACTTCACACACACATAAACATATCAAAATGTTCAAAAGCTGAACGACTCACCAACTGAAAGGAAGCCTTTCCAGTATGAGAAACCCAAGCGCTGCCATCATCTCACACACAAATCACAGAATGATACAAAAACAAAGATCTAATCATTCCAAGCCAAAGCATGACTCAAAATTATGGCAATAAGTTGTTCACTGATAATCACCCAAGCAGAAAGCAAACCAGTTCAGCTCAGTTGTTACAGACTGAAGACAACCATGTCATTACATAACACAGCTCAGTGCATGTTGCATTAGAACAGCCACTAATGAGCTGGGCAACTTCACACACTGCAAAGAGCCAATTACTGTCCTTATGCTGCGTTCCAGTTGTACGCAGAAATGGGAAATTCCAACTTCCCAGTCAAAAGGAGAAAAGAAAAGAAAAACACTGGAACGCCCTCAGGGTGCAGCACAACTACCCACAGTGATGACTTGGACTTCGCGTTTCAATATGGCCGCTCCTCATAACAACACAGTGGTAGGATGTGATGGAGAAATGAGTCTTTTAAAGTGATCTCCAATCGACGTCACATGCAAGTCTAAAGCGAATCAATTCAAATTGATGTTTGCTTATAGAAAGCAAAGCTTCACAGATGCACTGAAAACGACACGTAAGGGCGTCGCCATGGTGACATTCCGTCACCTCCCATTTCCTACTTCCCAGGTAACCTGAACGCGGCATGAAACCACAACGTCATGTTTTCCGAACTGCACATCAAATCAGCAGAATATATTAATTATCTGGGCGCACAATCACATTTCCGACTGAGTTCACAGAAAGCAAAGTGGTCCTTACCTTTTGAAGTTCTTCTTTCTTGTTTTTACTTTTCCTTGAAAGCTTTTTAAATAAAGTCCTCAAAGTCCCGCACGAGCTCAGCAGCATCAAAGAGATTGCAGGAAGCCTTTTTCCGACTCATAATAGATGTGAGGGGGTTTATTATTTTCATTATCATTATTATTATTTGTTCATTTCAGTTCTGGAAAAGTCCTCTCTCGCTTTATGTAGGATTTCCTTCCGGATGTTTTCTTCCTCGCTGAAGTTAGCCGTCGTTAGCTAGCGTTAGCCGTCGCTAAACATGAGTCACTCACCATATTACACTTGTTCAAAATTCACTTTTTCTTCGGGAGCCTCGTGCATAAGAGTGCGCAGTTTTCACAATAAAACGTGGCGAAGGAAAAATGTAGAAAAGTGCGGCAGACAAAAAAAAATAAAAATATGGATGCGTGACGCCGCGCGCACCTCCAAAGGCGCTCCAATGACGTTGTGCTGCGTAATTGTGGCACAGCGCAAAGCTGGCCATAAAATAATCAAACCTGTTTGGAGTTAATCACCTGATTCCGTTTCTTTTTTCAGTGAGAATGAAATGCATTTCATTGTCCCAATGCGCCACATCTTTATGAGACAAAAGCTGAGGAAGAGTACCATTTACATTCTGGTGAAGATTAAACAATTTAAAATATTTTAGCTCATCTATGCAGAAACAAAGGTGTTTAGCACCGAGACCCTGTTACTATTAGGCTTGAATAGCTTTGCTGTTTTTATTTTAGCCCTTGAACGCAGCATCGTCCCATCAGATAATGTCTTGGCAAACGTGGTGGTTTGCGTCAAGCCAGCGGGAAAGTAATTTGACTTCATTATTTAACACCTTTAAGAAACTCGGCCTCCAGGAAGGCAGCCCAACATGGCTCCA